TGTCTACCACCATTATAAACTAACTCACGCACAAGTAACCATGCCTGTTCTCACCTTGCCGTGGAGCACATGGTGGACATCGTCGGAAAGGACGGCCGAACTGTCATCTGTGCTGGGCCGTTGCTGTTGTCAGTCCCAGTGTGTGCACACCTAGCGCGTATGCGTATACTAGTGCATGTGTGTGAAACGCTCCAATTGTCATCTTCCATGCTAATAGGAACTGTGCATCTCAACTCCGTCTCCGTGCTGTTTCTTTGCAGCGTATGTGGTTCGAGTCTTAGGCTATCACGGCGCGTCAAGCGTTTTTGCTTGGAAGGCTGCTGACTGAAGCCCCAAATCAGTCCACGCAGTCTGCTCAATTGTGTGTATGTGTGGAGTGGCGGATTGGTGGGCTGAGAGCCAGGCTAAAGCGGCACCTTCTTAACGTGACCTACGGCACTCTCACGCATGGAAGATGTACGTTGATCAACTCCCCGTTGTGTGAAATCCCGGTGCTTGTGCTTTGGGGGGCCAGGTCATGCATATGGCGCGCGCAGACAAGGTCACTAGGCTATGTCATCCACCGCGCCCATTCCCCGCATTTGTCTAGTGACCGGCTCGGACAGTGAGTGGGGCCTGAAAATGGGAAGGGAGAGTGAAGTCGACAGCTTAGCGTATTTTCCTCATCATAAACAATCTGACCCGCTTGAAGCTATCACGGTGCGCTAAAATTGCTGGCTTGGAAGGTCGCCAACTGACGGGATAACTTTGACCTCGCAGTCGGCCAAGCGTTGTGTGTTAGTGTGTGGAGTGGCCGGCGGGTGTCAAAGAGTCAGTCTACAATGGCTCCTTCCTAATTTGGCCCTTATGCCACTCCCACTCCGGGAGATCCGAGCCAGGTGTGACGGCACACCTAGGCGCAGCTTCAGCCGTGCCAGACGCCCTTTCGTTGTTGGTAAAAAAAACCGGTAATTTGCTGTATGGATCAGGAGGTGTGGAGTGGAAGGTCAAGATGAGGGCTCGATTGTGCCATCCACCTG